CGAAATGGTCGACGACGATAGCAGTTTGTTTGGGTTCGACGATGAAGATGATGATGAGAAGCGAAAGGATAATCATGAGGACAAAAAATATGTTTTCCGGAAGGAACTGCGTAACATGATTTATGGATTTGGTGATGACAAGGTTAGTCTTTTCCTGGCCTCTTTTTTATGCGTTTTTTGCATCTATGTAATGCAGAAAACACATGTTGATGAGGGGTTGTCTGTCTGTATGTGCACGCGCTGTGCGTCTGTACCGATTTTCCATCTCGTGACCTGCAAAAGCTACACGACTGAAACTTTGGGAACTTGATCTGCATGCGTGTACGGGTCCCTATCTCCAAAATGGACGCTCTTGCCCGCGTGCTACCCACGTACGGTCCAACAAAGTTCTTTTCGGGTAAGTTGCTAACTCGGGAACCCGAGAAGCTAGAAGACTGCGATTTTAAGGGGATGTCCCACGTCCATGTAGGTCTTAATGAGTTCACGCCCAGTCTCCGCGTATGCGAGTTCTTATATACGAGCCCGTGAAAGTTTTTTGCGGGTAAGTTACTAACTCGGAAATCAGGGAGGCCCGAAAGCTGAAATTTTAAAGAGATATTTTCAGACAGCCCTGATAGCCTGTCTCGTTTATCTTAGCTAGTAGCATTTGCAGGAAAAACCGGTGCCGTTAGCGACAAAAACTTGCGGGGAACTGTGCAAAAAACGCATCTTTGCACCGGCAATTGGTTCACTGGCCATTTCCTGTTTCGTTCTGTTTTACGGGGATTGCTGCTGTAAGTACGGCTGTTTTCTGGGTCCGTGTTTTTTTTTCTCCGTACGGACCGGACTGATATACTTTTGCCTTTATTAGTGCATCATTTCGCTTCATAAAAAAAGGCGTTGGAATTAAGAAGTTTAACCTGGGCAAAGACGACACCTCTGCACTAATTTATGTGCAACTTTCTATGAACGAAATCTGTGGCGAGTCTTACCGATCAGTAGCACTGAGCAAAAATTAAAAGCCGCTTGTTAGTGCCATATGCCTTTTTTCGTACTTTTTTCACATTGTTTCATTTGGGTGAATGTATTTTTTGGCATGCACCAACACAGATTTGTTGCACTTAGGTCTGGGATAATGCTGTTGACTTCTTTACGCAGGCATTTATACGGCCGCACGACCATAGCGATTAAATAACTTGTGATTTATTTGCCTAACTATAACTGAATTAAACACTGCTGCTCCATTGCGATTATCCTTTGGTTGCACATAGTTACGACAAGCCTTTACGGTGACGCCTCTTTGATCCCGCTAGCCAAGTGTACTTTGAACTAAAATTGTTGGAAATTCATAGAAATCTTTATTGTGGCACCCACAAGCCGACTGATTTCTTGCGCTACTATTGCATCTTTTACTTGCTCTCCAGGTACCATACGACGAAACACTGGAATATCTGGAGGCCATAGTGAAGGAGTACATACAGGGTATGTGCCGATGCGCAGTCGAGTCGGGAAAACCAGGCAAATTAACGCTCGAGGACATACATTAT